AGAAAAAAGATGATGAATGTCGCATTACATTGGAGCTTTACTAACCATTAAAGATCAGAAAGTTCGGTGAAATGCTTTAATTTACCTATTTTGTATACCTTAGAAACCATTTTTATTTGGCTAATATGGAAGTTGAAATAGGAATAAAGAAAATAATTTAAATAACAGAGATGGAATTTAAAGAATTTGAGCCGCGGTTTTAATCCGCCAAAACGCGGTTTAAATTAAGCGCCGACTTAAATCTTGAAACATTAGAAACAATTTAAAGTGGAACCAACCATATTTAATACGCGGCTTAAATTTAAACCGCCGCTCAAATTCTTCAAATTCGGCCACAGGCGTAAACAAAAATAATTATCAAGATTTTAGTAAATTCGAGGTTTCGCGAGTTTTTTTATTTAAATAGTAGTCACGAAACCTCGAAAAGGAAACTGTTTGATGTTGCGTGTTTGTAAATAAACAGGTTTTTCTAACATTATTAGTGAAACTTAAAAACTTTCATTAGGAAATTAGACGAGTGAAACAGTAAAATTTGCGCTTCAGATTTACATGCTTAAAAGAAAAAATTTACATTACTAGAGATTACTTGTAATAAGAATGATTGGATTGGAGGGGATTACGTCAGGGGTTTATAGAGGCGGAATGATAAATACTGCTCTTTAAAAAACCTTTAAAAAGGGGGTTAATCATTCCTAAAAAATATTCTCCACAATTAACAAAATTTTTGGTAATGAGGGATTCACAAGTTGTTTCAGTGGAACATAAAAATCTTTCATGTAGGAAAGATCTTTTCACCATTCTCAGAGAATATAATTTTCCAAATCGATGCGCACGAAGTGGGCTACGCTGCAGCGCTGCAAATTCACACTATTTGGAAAGGACATCAATAGATTTTAGTATGCTTTAGAAAGAGAATAATTTACCATCTGAAAAAGATGCTTCACTATTTGAAAAGGATATGAACATAAAAATCTTTCATATCGCAAAGATCTTTTCACCATTCTGAGAGAATAAAATTTTCCAAATGTTTGACCCCTTCTAGATATTGAATATCTAGGCTGGAATTGACACTATTTGGAAATTTAAACCAAAGAAATTGTAATTTGATCCATAAAACTTGTTAAAAGAGGCGACATGTGGTTGGGGGTAGAGTAAAGGGGGAGGGCGACAGAAAGAACAAGCTAACAGAAACAACTGTGTCGAAATATCTGAATATTTTGAAATTGAATATGGTATGGTTTCAGAGATTTTCATGTAGAACTATGTATTGTTTCAATGGAACATAAAAATCTTTCATGTCGGAAAGATCTTTTCACCATTCTCAGAGAATATAATTTTCCAAATGTTTGGCCCCTTCTAGATATTTAATATCTAGGCTGGAATTGACACTATTTGGAAACAAAAATCCTGAAAGATATTAGGTTTAGTATAGTATGCTTGGATTTAGAAAATTGCCATTCTGGAAGTGATGACGATTTATTGGGGAAACCGGTGAATTACAGACAATTAACAAAACAATTTCAGTTATATGGAGGGGGGAGGTCATTTTACGGGTAGTTTGCTTACAGGGGCGGAATGATGTACAATTCTTGAGAATAAAAATTGTGGTCTACAACACATTTTATGGATCGATACATAGATAATTATACAAAGCGGGTTGAAATTTCCCCCAAACATTAGTTCAAATAAAAATCCCATAAAACCTTAAACTCAATGAGACAATATGCCATGAATTAATATGCTTAAAGTCAGGGTATAAATCATGATTTTTAAAAGAAAAGAAAATTTGTTAATTAACAACATACAATAATTGTATCAATTGAACATAAAAATCTTTCATATCGCAAAGATCTTTTCACCATTCTGAGAGAATAAAATTTTCCAAATGTTTGACCCCTTCTAGATATTGAATATCTAGGCTGGAATTGACACTATTTGGAAATTTAAACCAAAGAAATTGTAATTTGATCCATAAAACTTGTTAAAAGAGGCGACATGTGGTTGGGGGTAGAGTAAAGGGGGAGGGCGACAGAAAGAACAAGCTAACAGAAACAACTGTGTCGAAATATCTGAATATTTTGAAATTGAATATGGTATGGTTTCAGAGATTTTCATGTAGAACTATGTATTGTTTCAATGGAACATAAAAATCTTTCATGTAGGAAAGATCTTTTCACCATTCTCAGAGAATATAATTTTCCAAATGTTTGGCCCCTTCTAGATATTTAATATCTAGGCTGGAATTGACACTATTTGGAAAGGACATCAATAGATTTTAGTATGCTTTAGAAAGAGAATAATTTACCATCTGAAAAAGATGCTTCACTATTTGAAAAGGATAAGCTCTACAAAATCAAATTCGCAAAAATTAAAAGTATGCTTTTAGAACATGAATGTTATCTTAAACGTAACTGTTGGTCGCTGTTGCAGGGTTAAACCCAAAACATTGTAGTGAAGAATTCAACCAATGAAAATGAGATTCGAATGCAATTAGATAGCATTTTTCCTGTAAATATGTATTAGATAGTTTCACTCGACTTGATCTAACGTTCCGAAATGAATTTATGTCCCACGAAAAAGGTTAATTTCCCTTATAATTTCTACCTGTGCCGGAATATTTATGAATCTTTCATTTATGAGGAATCCTACGCTTCCCTTCAATAGGTCTGTCACATACTGGAGAACTTGCCTAAAAATATAAGGTTGTGTTAGGATAGCCCAAAACGCATCCTAAAAATATAACAAAACTAAAACGCCCAACTAAGGAGGGGGTGCAGGGAAGCCATTGCCCCGTGATATGACCTTTGAGCCTCTGGATTCGCAGAGAAGTTCATGTAATGACCTGGCGCTTCGCTTCCCTTAAGAGTAAATTTTTTTTTAAAAGCAAAATATTGAATATTTTTTAAGTGAAACAATTTTTTTTTGCTTTTCAGGATAACACTGCAAACTCTAGTTAGACTAAGATTAATATTTTCTTAAGAAAATGTAAAAATTACTTAAATATAGTCCGTTTTGGGATTTTTTTCAGGGCTCATGGCGGCCCAGCACCCGCACCCTTGTCCATCTTCCTAGTGAACTAACTTATTATAAGCGATATTCCCGATGTAAATAATTTGCTAGCTTAGACGCTAATCGGTTCAAGGGTTCATGAGACATGATCCAAACCTACAAACTAATTTCGGCCGGTCAAGAGAAAAACTCAATCTAACTTTGCAGGAATGGATTAAGGCTCCTTAAATGAAGGTTAAAATATAAAATCTAGCACAAACCTAACTTCTGTGGAGGAGAAGGTGGGGAGTATCAAACTCAACTAAGAAGGGGTTAGAGAAAATGTACACCCCTAGCACACAAGGAAAAAAAGAATTACCGATCGTTTCCCTTAGCCGTCTGTTCTAGAATAAATCTTCTGAGCGAGGAAATTGATTCTTTAGTTTTCTCCGCCAAGTTCACCACGGTCGAGATAGCGTATACCTGAAGTACTAATATAAATATTTAAAGGGCTCAACAAGTTTTCTCAGAAACAACGTTTATTGAACGATATTATTTCAATGGAACATAAAAATCTTTCATATGGGAAAGATCTTTTCACCATTCTCAGAGAATATAATTTTCCAAATGTTTGGCCCCTTCTAGATATTGAATATCTAGGCTGGAATTGACACTATTTGGAAATAAACGCAATTTAATGACAGTTTATTCAACCTGTTGAAATTAGTGACTTGTGATGTATAGAGACTGAAAAATCGTTTAAGATCAAGCATTTAAGATTCAGCTAGGCTGGAATAGACATTTTATAAAAAATGCGGAGATTAAAATCGAACAAATAGGGATAGTAATTTAAGTCGACTGCAAGGGTGTAATGCAAGAAAAGTTAATTGCGGTCGTGTATACTCTGTAGACACTGAAACTGGGCGGAATTTGTAAATAATAATAGTTGCATCAGTGTTCGTGAAGTATCCGAGGAGGCTAAAAGCATTAAATTATGATAATTCACATAATAGTTTTCTATGACCAGAATATTTCATTGATTTATTTATGTGAAATATGGATCCCGTGTACACTGCAATACAAAAGATGTGTACACTTCTGAAACAACTTTCCTTGCATTACATCCTTGGTCGACCGTATCTTTTGTAAATAGAGTCTTCAAACGTTAAATTAACGTAAAAATAAAGAGTTGCAATTAACACATTTAAGTTAAGGATAAATAACATTTCGTTAATGTATAAACCCCTTATGATCGATCCAGGATATAAACCTAGATCAACCTCAAACAAGTTCAAATTTAATCTGGCAAGAAATTAGAGGATCTAATACATGTTTAGTCAAGACCCGCTGGTATCTTGCATCAATCGAAGACTGATATTCTTGTCTATTCTGAGCTGAGAACTTTAGAATGAGACGATCGCTTGATCTGATTATCCAAAGTTCACACTTTTGATTTTCTTCTTAAAATCCTCTTTTTGGATAGTTCTACTGCATTAAAGTTACATTTGATAAGAATTGCAGATACAGTGCTATATAGATTGGACTAATATCCGATTGCATTAAAGTCAGCTGTTCACAAATTTAGGGCCTTTAAAGGAATATAAATTTAATCATGTTAATATGAAATTATTAAAAAACATATTTTAGGACTATTGCATTTTGAAAGTTAGTCTTACTAAACATTAAACCAAAACTTGCGTTAATATCCACCGTTCAAAAGTTTTCAGTTCTGATCAGCAAAATATTTTCTTACCTCATTTGGATCATCTGTAATATCATCCCCTTCTAGTTCTTCAGGAATACTCTGTTTTATCACAGATCCAATACCTGGATACAATACTATAATCCAACGGTCTTTTATTATCAAAGATAAATATTGGAGAAGTTTTCACAAATTGCATTTTATTTTCTTGAGCATATTTTCCCGGCATTTATTCTCAATTCGAAAAAAAATGCCTCAGAAATAATAAAAAAGATGGTTTTTTAATCAATTTTCACTTAAATGTCCTTTTCTCTTGTGCAAGAACAATTTTGAGCGATCGGGGCTAGATTTATTTCATTTAACAATCTAGCAGGGGTGTATATAATTCCATTCCCCCCCCCCCTGGGGGGGAAGAACTTAAAGGTCACAAAAGAGGGGAAGGGGATGGAAAGGGGAAGGGAAGAAGGGAAGGAGAAGGGAAGGAGAAGGGAAGGAGGGAGGAAGGAGAAGGGAAGGAGAAGGCAAGAAGAAGGGTAAGAGAAGGCAAGAAGAATACAAGAAGAATGAGGGGAATGGGAGGGGAAAGGATGTGGAGGGAAAGGGGATGGGAAGGAGAAGGGAATGGAATGGGAAGTGCAAGTGGAGAGGATGGGAGAGTAAGAAGAATGGAAAAAGAAGAATTGTAAAAATCATCCCTGAAATCAGGGATGAGTTTATGAAGGAGACCTTTGTAAGAAAGTTGGGACAACGCCAGACTTTCTAGACAGTACTCCAAACTGAAGTTTGCAGATCTGTCTGCATCTCTTGGACAGCTACGGAAGAACCAAGAAAATCAGTCTCATGTCCCTGTAGACTTTTTTACTGTTTAATTAAGTAAGAATAAGTAAATTTTTTTTAATGATACTATAATAAATCAAAGAAGAGTTTAATCTGTCATATGAGTTGTCGAGTTTGGGGAAGGAATTCAAAAAAAAATTATAGGGGGGAAAGAATCAAAATATGGAATTATATACACCCCTGCAATCTAGTTCTAATCAATGCGACCTACCTCGTTGAGCAAGGATAGAATCTGTAAGTTTACTGCAATCGACCACACTAAATTATAATTCAAGTAGAGAACAAAAAGGTTTCATTACAAATCAAGATTAACGCTAGCGTATAATCTACGGGCGATATCAACAATTGGGCATGAACTTTTAATGTTTAATTTCGTTAATGTATAAACCCCTTATGATCGATCCAGTATATAAACCTAGATCAACCTCAAACAAGTTCTTTAATCTGGCAAGAAATTAGAGGATCTAATACATGTTTAGTCAAGGCCCGCTGGTATCTTGCATCAATCGAAGACCAACATTCTTGTCTATTCTGAGCTGAACACTTTAGAATGAGATGTCCTTAAAGGGAGTGTTCGCGAAAAATGAAAGGGGGTGTAGGCTTAATGCGATAAAAAAGCGCTTTTGATCGCTTCTAATCATGCTTCAATTGGTTGCGTCTATAAGGAGAAAATTGTTAAAAACGACTAATACCGAAGAACGTAGTATTCATACAAAGTTATGATCCGAGAGTTACTTAAAAAAACATTTATTTCTGTTTTGAGGATTTTTGGAAATGAAGACGACATTTTCATATTTTCCAGGAATGTTCGAAAAAAAGTTGGAAGCTAAATGTTATTTTAAAAGATAAAATCAAAACATATTATGAAAAATCAACTATATACAAATGTGGCGAAGATAATCGATGACCATAGGTTGTAATATCTGAATGATTTGTTTGAAATTAAATAGATTTTTTACGGTCTAAGTCGTATCTTGCATCTTCCTGAATTTGAATGGATACTACGTTCTTCGGCATGAGTTGTTTTTAACAATTTTCTCCTTTTAGACGCAACAGATAGAAGTAAGATCAGTAGCGATCAAAAGCGCTTTTTTCCTTCTTATAATCCTCTTTTTGGACATTTCTACTACATGAAAGTTGTATTTGATAACTACAGATACAATGCTATATCGATTGGACGAATATCCGATTGAATTAAAGTCAGCTGTTCACAAGCCCGAGGGATTAAAATAAATTTAAGGGACGACAGGAAGTGTTACAATTTAGGTTCAAATGCACCAACAGAAAAATTTGAATCCGTATAGGGCTGTACCTTGATCTCAGAAAAAGCTGTTGTAGCAATCTTTTGATTCCGTGAAAATCTTCACCCTCAGGACTCCGAGCCTCAAATTCTACCTTAACCAATAAATCATAATAATATTACACACATTACGAAAAAGTTTTGGTTTTAGAATATCTTTGAAATGATTCAGTGATCGAATTTTGATCCAGCTCGCTGAAGCACGTACTACCGGTTCAAATCTTGATCAATTATTTATGGTTTAAGATTCAGGAGGGTAGTACTAACGATTAAGGATTTGAACCGGTCATGGAATAGAATTTGAATTTAGTCCCAATTTTCTCATGAATTCAATATTATGAAACTGACATATGTCAAAGCCCTTGAAAAACATTGCTTATCCCATATAAAAGAACATTCTCTTGATGTAAAGGAAGAAGAGATCGTTAAAAAGAAATTAATAAGATTTAACTTTAAGAGGGTGGTACGTCCTTTCATCGCAATTTAAGAATCCTGATCTACCTGTATTTCTTTCCCCTCTTCGTTTTCTGAATCTGAGCTGTCTGAAGAATTGTCTGGGGTTTCTAGGGGTATCTGACGGGGATGTTTAAACCTTGAGGACATCTGAAACAAAAGATGTTAAATACCTTCATGGGTTAATTAAAGGTTTACATGATTACAGAAGGTTTAAGTTTCAGAATATAGATTTAAGAACGGAATTCTCAAAGTTTAAGAACGGGGAGGTCCACCAGCTCCTCCAGGGGCGGCGCCACCAGGTTGACCGGGACGGTTGGGCTGCTGGGGCCTGTTAAATCCGTACCTTAAAAAAATACATTCTTTAAGTATAATATAATTTTTACTTTTAATCAGAAACACTATTTCATTTTAATTTGTTTTGATAATTGTACACGGACTGAACACTTAGTTCGCCCCGTGGTAGATTATCAAACATATTTTCGCAACATTTAGTGTCTGTCCAAAATAGTTCAGGACAGGTGTAGACAGTTGCAATTCATAAAGAATTGTATTTCCACAATTTTATTTTATAAAAAAAAATTTAAAAACTTAATTCATTACTTCGTTGTCATGTATTTCAATGTGACCGATCTTTAATTATTTTAACAAATAAGAAAAATCTGTAGAATGGATTTATTATTAGTATAATTTAAATCAGATGAGCTCAACTTTAACAGTTTGTTTCGATAATTGTACACGGAATAAATACTAGTTCACCCCGTGGTAGATTATCAAATATATTTTCGCAAAATTTAGTGTCTGTCCAAAATAGTTCAGGACAGGTGTAGACAGTTGCAATTCATAAAATAAGAAACTTAAAATTTCGTCTTCCAACTTCCTTGGTAGAGTTTAGAGATTCCAGATTAATGCCTTTAGGCACAAAATCTAACAAAATAATCGACCCTTAAGAATAGACTCTTTATTTTGAACAAGATGAGAAAAGTCGCAATTCCGTTAATTTAGAAATCAGACAATAAAAATGTTTAATATGTTCCTAAACCTTTATTAACTTATAATTGTGCTTTCCCATTCGTGAGCATTCCCTACACTTGATTTACCTTGGGGGAGGGGTTCTGTCCTTCCTTGCTTCCCTGGACCTGTTCCTCACAACCTTGGAGTGGATTGCGCAGGAGACACAGTAGTACAGCTTAGCGTACAGCTTAGGTAGGGTGTAGCTGGTGTACACGCTGGCCTAAAATATGAACAGCATGTTATTAGAACAAGCAACAAAAACAGAATGTGTAAATACTTCAAATGGGAGAAAGGTAATAATAACGCGACATTCTTTTAATAACTTATCAGTTAAACCACTCCTATAAATCTTAAATTCAATCCTTATTTGTTGACAAAGACCTATAATACTTTAAATGCAAAATATTACCATGCTGAAGAGGGGGGGGGGGTGGTTGAATTTAAAATTCATTTGCGGATATACCTCAGAGATATCCCTAACAGCAGCAGCCTCTACGATGTTCCTGATGACAAACTTCCTGATGGCCTTGTCCTTGGGGCAAGCCTAAACATAAGATAAACCTAATTTAATTAAAATTGTGCCTATATTAGTAGAGAACACGAAATATAAGGGTCCAATTTTTGGACCGCCACCCCCAATCCTATCAATTTAGTTCAAGACCACATTAGTTTTGTTAGTTTAGGGTTAATTTAGGTTATGAACATTTTTAAAGCGAGCGCTGCAGCTAGGAAAGGCTAGGGGGCCGAGCGCCGCGGCCTGGATTGGATAGGTGGCCGGGCGCTGCAGCCGCATGAACAATTATATCCACGTGTTATAAGTGAGATCCATGTACAAAATTGATAGGTCAAAAATCGCTCACTAGGACTTTCACTTTTCAGATCAAATAAAGGCCGATTAGCGACAAGTAGCAAAAGGAAGAATCTAAGGTGATCCTAAAAATATTTTTAAAAAAACAAGAAGCGAATATACAAGAATAATAGAATAAGGCGATACACCATCTGAATTGATAACCGTAACGGCTGTAACAGGATAAGAAATCGTTCATCAAACTGGTTGGTTACGAGAAACAACATTTAATAAGAATTCTAATTATCATAAATCCGTAACTTTAAATCAGATATATCTTAAAAGGGTAACAGTTCTAAATTGAAAATAAGAGCGATTAAATTTGTAAATCACAATTCGGAGACCTACCAACTACCATACTATTGATTTTCTATTTACAAAACCGATATACTCAGTACAATCGCACAAATACTAAAAATTCCGACTTCAATGCCAGTAGACTTCAGCTAATGACAGCAACATTTAAGCAACCCTGAGGCCGAATTCAAAGAATTAGAGCCGCGTCTAAAATCCGCCAAAACCCGGATTAAATTAAGCATTGAAACATTTGATACAATTTTAAGTTGAACCAACCATGTTTAAGCCGCGGCTCAAATTCTTTAAATTCGGTCTCTGGTTACATTCACCCTAGCTAATCCTGATAATAAACACATCGTGATCAGTCTTAAAACATGTTGCAGGCGCGAATCACACAAAATAACCAAACATACCTTGGAGCAGTTGGTGCAACGGATGTACTTGACATGTCCGCGCCCGTGCTTGTTCCTACCGTGGTTCCTCCTCTTAAAGGGCATCTTCTGAAAGTTGAACGATACATTAAAACAAAATTCGTCACTTCAAATAGGATTAATGCTTGTTTAACATAACAGATTCACATTTACAATAAAATTTAGTATTACACGTGTGTACAGTGAACCTAAAACTTAAATGTGAGGGAGCCGCGAGGATTTCTGCTAAGGTTTGGTTTGGATTCGTCTGAAAAAGAACCATATCCGGTTTCTAACGAAGACGATTTGAAATAAAAATCTTTTTTTCTTTAACATTTAACAAATCTTTATTTTAATCTTTTAACTTTTAAATATATGGTGACATATATTAGTTTAAGCGCGAAAAAATAAGAAATGATATTGGAAAAAATATTGTTTTAGTCGTAGCAGTGGCCCTGACAAAAATATTTGGTTTGGAAATTTTCCTTACACTATTTTTGATTTCTTTACTTCCTTTTAAATCTTTTAAATAAAAATTCGGATCAATTCAGGAAGGGGGGGTGTGAGTTTTATTGCTCTACAACTCATCCCCCGAGGTGCCGGACTGCAAAATTCTGCAAAATTCTGACTCCTTTTACAGAATTTTTGTTAATTACAGTCGTCTATACGCAATATCCCCCCTACTGAACTTCTGACCTACTAACTTTCCGACCTACTGCAATGTCGGACCTACGCCAGCTGTTTATTTTAGTATTATTTGAGGGTTAGGTTAGGTTAAGACAATTTCTGGGCCGAGCGCTGCGGCTAGGATAGGCTAGGGGGCCGAGCGCCGCGGCTAGGACAGGCTAGGGGGCCGGGCGCTGCGGCCACAAGTCCATATAGCAGCTGTAAAACCACGTGCTAGTAGGTCAGATGTGTAGTATAGCGGATTTGGCGTA